TGTGTGTGTATGTGTGTATGTGTGTGTGTGTGTGTGTGTGTGTGTATGTGTGTGTGTGTGTCTGTGTTTGCGTGCATGTGTGTAGAAGGAGGGGTGGGGAGGCGGGAGAGAGATATTGACGTGAAGAAAGGTATCCTTAAACATGTGCGCCTAACCGGTGTTATCCGGGAAAGTGCAATGTATTAATGTACAAAATGATCTTTGAATATCGTTTAATTTTACTATTATGTTGTGTTTTTTCAGACGTCTATGTTGTATGAATGAAAAAGAGTACTCTTGAATACTATTATTATGAGTGCATGAAACGTGAACACTAGAAACGAATACGACAATAATAAAAATACAAATACTTTATAAAAGTGGGAAAACACGTATCAAACTTAACAGTTACAGATTATATACTCTTTCTCTACATTGATTCATGCCTTTCCCCTACCCCGTAGGTAAGGGCAACACCTGAAACGGAGAAACAGTCCACATGGTGACTTTCTTCATGGGCATTGCCTCTGTGTTGTAGTCGTCACCCGCAGAAGACCTGGTTTCAGTTCATGTGTGGGAACTTATTGTATTAAATATCTTTTTTTTTCTGATTGGACGTTTTATCTCTCTTAGTCCGGTTGGCCCTGACAGGCAGAGTCAAAGTCCTCCACCAAAATATCATAATTGTGGGTCTTATCCATCGTAAACCATGTTTGTGGTGAAAACAGCTGCTCTTCAGTTGAATAAAATCGAGGAAACCGCCTGTTGGGCATTCGTTATCCTGTTTGTTTTTTGCCGAACACCTTTTTTCGGGGGAAGAAGACGAAAATACACATTTGTGGGTGGATTTTACTTTAAAATTTTGATTACAGATTCAAAAAGTCAAGCTTTCAAAGTCACCAAATTTTGGGGGCCATTTTCTCATTAATTTTACCTCTGACGCCAGTTGACCGCCGCCCGTTTCAATGGCAAGGAGCTCTACTTCTATTCTAAATTGATTTATATTCTTTCATCAAAAGCAAGATAAGTTAACAAGCTTTAAGATTATTTCATTAACTAGAAGATTATATTATCATTAACTAAATGTACCTAAAAATTGAGGAGCGCCTGATTCTACCACTTCATGACGCGTGTTGTCCAATTTTGGGGCAAGTAGACGTATAATATTATCTGGAGCCTCAGCCCTCTCCAACAGGCATAAAAACTTGTTTGGGATATCACCCCAACCCCAGTAAGGGAGAAACAGTATACTTAGGCACAGTCAGAAATCCATTTCTCCACCCCCAAAAACCCCAGACCCCCCC